GCGCCCCTCCGCGGGGCCGAGGCCGCGCGCCTAGAGCGGCCCCACCGCCGCCATCGCGGACAAGGGCGGGGAGGTAGGCGTCACCTCGAGAGCCAGTTCTGGCCGACGCGCCTCCGACTCGCGTGGCCGCTCGACTTTGAGTCTCCCAGGACAGGTGTTTTAAGTTCACGGTTGGAGGTGGTGCAAGCCAAGCTCAGGAGTGGCTCCAGACGTTTTCAAAATTCCTGCCAGGAGCCAAGATGTCGGCCTCAGGGCCTGGGGACAATCTAGCCTCTCGCCCCTCTATGGTAAATAAGCGCTCGGCCGCCCCGCCCCCCCCGCCCCGCCCCGCTTGCGCGTGCGCAAGCTGGGATTTATTTTGAAAGTGGCCGGCGGAGCTGTTTCGCGCTTGTTGCCGACAGTACTACTAAGACGCTCCAGAGCCTTGCCGCGGGGACCGTCCCCAGGCCCCGTCCTGTGTCTGCAGGTGAGCAAGCTTGCATTCCCGCCAATGTTTGCTCTCAGTCCTCAATCACAGCCGCCGCCTCGCTCCGGCCACCGCCGCCTCTGCAAGCCGCTCCGCCCGCCCGCGTGCGCCGTGTGCAAACGGGAGAGCGTGTCTTCTCCTTTACCTTTGTGTACATAGGCCCGACAGAAATGAAGCCGTTCTAAAGGAGACGTTCAGACTTTGGAGAAACGGACCCCGGAGAAATGGGGATTTTCCTGGGAACGTCATGCTGGGAGAAGGAAGAAGCGCCCGGAAGAGCGGAGCTTGTCTCCCACAGAGATTTCACACAGCTCCCACGACCTGTCAGTACCTCACGGACTGAGGCCCAGACGAGGACGGGTCGGTGGTGGGTGGGACCGCTCGGGGTGGGGGCAAATCCTTGCCTCCTCTTTGCATTTTAACCTCACTTCTGGATCCGGGAGGCAGCCTTGTGGGGTTCACTGGATTCCCTTGCCCCTCTGCCCAATGTGGCCACATTGAGTACCACTCTGTTTTCCGCTTTCCACCGTCCATTTGGATTTTTTTTTTATGCACATGGGTGTTGCGCCTGCACGGATGTCTGTGCATCATGTGTGTGCAGTGCCCGAAGAGGCCAGAAGAGGGCGTGAGATCCCCTGGGACTGGAGCTCCAGTCCAGATGGAACTCAGGTCCTCTGGAAGAGTAGCCAGTGCTCTTAACTGTTGAGCCATCTCTCCAGTCCCCGATTTAATTGGCAGTTTTAATTGGCATATTGAGGAAGGTGGCTAGACCTGACTTGGGCACAGGTTGTGATCCTGAGTTGATAACACCTGTTAATAGGTCTCCCCCGAAGCAAGGATGTAAGCTCCAGTCAGGGACTACCAGAGCAGGACCACAAGCTCTCTGGACTTATCTGAGAACCTCATGTAGCCCAGGATGACACCAAACTCAATGTCTGCCTCAGCCTACCCACTGTTGAGACTGTTGGGGTCACTGGGGTGAACCACTAACACCCTGCAGCTAGGTCTCATTTTGGTCGTCACAGAATGTGTTTGATCTCATTCCGTGACAAATGCCTGAGGAAAGCAAAGTGGGGGAGGGGCGGGGGTGGGGGTGAATGTATCTAAGCTCCTGGTTTTGCCAGTTATAATCCAGCATTGACTGGATCCATTGCTTCGGGTCTGAGCCAAAATGGAATATCTTAATAGCAAAAGTGTATGGTGAGGGCTCCTTCCAACCCTTGTACCCATTCACAAGTCTCTGACTCCAGCGACCAAGAGCTCCTTAGTGGGCACCATCCACAGTAGCTCCCCTCCCCTCAGACCTCCAGCACTTCCTGACGGGAGCATCCCATGGGTCCCACTCCGCAGATCCATGTCTGTGCTTCTGACCGTGACACTTAAGCAGGAGTGAACCTCCTAATCCAGTCTCCACCCGCCAGCCAGCATGAGCTCTGTGCATGTGGAACTGACTGGAAGCCTCTCAGAAATAAACCTGTGCCTCTCCATTGCTTTTAGAATAAAAACAAACCTTGGTGCAGATAAGCCAACCCATGTTCCTTTGCTCTCTGCCACAATCCGTATAGATTTCTGTGATCTCAAAAGGTGTGGGGTTTTCTCCACCAGTAAGCGGTTCTGTAGGTAACACCCACTCGGTGTCTTTCTTTACTTTTTGAGGGGCCCAGGCTGGCCTCAACTCACCATGTAGCTGAGGGTGATCTTGAACTCTGATCCCAAGTGCTGCAATCACAGGCCTAATCACAGCCCAGTTTATGCTGTACTGGGGATGAAACCCAGGACTTTGTGCACACCAGGCAAACTGAGCTACCCGTGTCCCTTCCCCACCCACTCTCCTTACCTCATTGTAATAAAGTAATTTGGACGCCCGGCTCTTATCAGAGAAGGCATAGGATAAACGGCAGTAGAAAGGCCCATAATGCAAGGAGGAATTTCATCACAGGTTCGTGACATTATTTTTATTTTCTCGGGGGAAGCAGGGAAGTAGGCTCAACTCCAGAGTTGCCCAGGGATCCGATGAGCATACAGCTTCACCATCTGCAGCTCCTCACTGGGAAGCGTTCCTACCATGGTCCCTTTCCCTTCTACAGGAACAAAGGGGAAGTAGTCACCAGGTGACCCTCTGACAAAACTCATGCCAGGGTCACCTAGCTGCAAAGGAAAGGCCATCTCTACCTACTACAGCCACTGAACGCCCTTGGAAGGAGGGAGAGCAGTTGGTCACTCCATAGTGCCCCCTACTGGTCGTTAAGCTGCCCAGCACCAGGATGGGCCCTGCAACAGCCCCCAGATGTGTCAGGTTGGCTGGTGGTCTTTGTCCCCAAGTTCAGATATGGAAGCCTGACACCCCCTCCCCCAAGCAATGACTTTCGGCTTTGGGCAGTAATTGGGGACAGATGAGGGTGGAGTTCAAGGTGGCTTCACTGAGAAGAGGAAAAGACACCAACCAGAGTGTCCCCTTTCTTCAGCATGTGGGGACACAGTGAGTGGGCAGCTACCTGTCACTGAAGAGAGAGAATGCCCTCCCCAGAACCAACGATGTTGGTTTCCCATGGGACTTCCAGCTTCAAGAACCAAGTAAGATGGCCAGGCATGGTAGCACACACCTTTCATCCCAGCACTCAGGAGGCAGAGGCCACCCTGGACTGCATAGTGAGACCTGCCCCCACCCCCCAAAAAAAAGTTAAATAAGAAATTGGAGGTCAGAGGACGCCTTACAGGAGTCGTTTCCTCCACCATGTGAGCTCTGGGGAGTGGGCTCAGGGCTTCAGGCCTGGCAGCAAGATCTTCACAGCTGCACCATCGCCTCCTCGGCCCTAAAACCAGTGGTGGTTGGTGCTACACATCTGCTCCATTCGCAACCACTGAAGAGCTTAGCAGCAGCCCTGAATGCCCGAGGAGAACAGGGTGGCTGGATAAATAATGATCCCTCCGACCCAGGGACCCAGGCCGCTTGGCAGCCATCAGCATTTCCTTTTTAAAGGATCCTGGGGGAGTGAAGACAAGAGTGTAATACAATGCCGCATAAACAAAGGGCAGAGTGACCTTATTTAGGAAGAGGCTGAGTCTTTTCCTGCATGTCGCCTTAAGACAGCGAGGGCACACAGGGACATGTCCTGGGGACCTGCCTCCCTTAGGAGGTTTTTATTATTGAATCAAGGCTTAATTTCACAAAGACAGAAGCTGGAGTGTCCCTGAGTGTCCCAGCCCCGGGGAGAGAGGAGTCTTTCCAGGCTGTGATAACGGGATGGACTGGCAGGTGGTGGTTGTAGCCAGTGCCTGGGGCCTCTCAGAGAGATGGAGGACCAGAAGCGGTGCCTGAGGCTCTCAAGACAAGGTTTCTCTGTGTAGCCCTATCCTAGAACCAACGGTCTCTGTAGACCAGGCTGGCCTCGAACTCACAGAGATCCTCCTGGCTCTCCCTCCTGAGTGCTGGGATTAAAGGCGTGCGCCACCTCCTGGCTTGCCCTTGGACTCTTACACAAATCCTGGCTTGTGGGGACTTGAAATCAGATTTAATCTTCAGTGAAATTTGTGGGAGTCATTGTCTGGCCCGAGCTGCTGCATTAAACCCCTACCCCACCACCCCACCCCCGCCCCTGCCACCAGACTGTAGAAAGTGTGCTAGGGGCCTTGGTAGGAAAAGGAGCTACAAAAGAAGCCGGATTAAAAGTTAACACAGCAATGAACAGGAGGAGGCGCTATTCAGCTTTAAACCTATGACAGGTGGCTTTGAAATGACTTAAAGGCGTGGTTGGCTCACACCTTTGGTCCCAGCACTTGGGAGACAGAGGAAAGCGGATCTCTGAGTTTCAGGGCAGCCTGGGGTACACAGAGAAACCCTGTCTTGTTTTGTTTCCTTTGGTCCTTTTCTGTCCTCGAAGCCTAATTTCTCTCTGTTTGGTGGAGTGTCTTTGTGTGCTCTCTGCCTCTGTCTCCGTCTTGATCTGGTTTTTATTTTCTGGAGATGGCCTTGCTTCTGTAACCCTGGCTGGCCTTGAAGTCACAGTAATCCTCCTGCCTCAGATTCCTTAAAATGCTAGGATTACAGGCAGAAGATGCCACACCTGCTTTCTTTTCTCTGTGGCTCATGCTAGCCCTGAATTAGCTAAGTAGCCCAGGCTAGCCTCAGACTCCAAGTCCTCCTATCACTGTCTCCTGAGAATTGGAATTAAAGGTGTACAACACCACAACCAGCCTAGCACTTTCTGCTTCAGAGATGGGATGCTCTCAAACTGTGACTCGCTAATTATAGCCAATTAGATTTTGAACAAAACATACAGAGAAATTTTGTTCTTTGGCCATCTGAATTAAACAAATAGGCTAATGAAATACTCCTGCAATGAAGTGTTCTGGGGGAAATCAAGCCTGTTGCAAGGTTGTCTTTCTTTTCAGTGTGGGGGTAGGGGTGTGGAATCCAGGTTCTTGAACGTACTAGATAAGTGCCCTATGGCCCGCCTGCGCCTTCTCTGACCCTCTTTCACTCCTCGTAATGTGAACGGTTTTGTTTGGAACACACAAACCCTTCATTTACACATCATGTGTGACTAGGGTCAGTCGGTATCAGCAGAGCTGAGTCATTGCAACAGAGACTGGCGGGCCGACTAATACTAAAATATGTGCTATCTGACTTTCATTTGTGTGTGTGTGCACAGGTGTTTTGCTTGCATGTCTGTGTACCACATTTGTGCCTGGCATCCTTGGAGGACAGAAGAGGGCATCGGATCCTCCAAAACTAGAGTCACAACTGTCATGAACCCCCCTGCAGGTTCCAGGAATTGAACCCAGGTCCTCTGGAAGCACAGCCAGTGCTCTTAACCACTGAGCCATCTCTCCAGCTGCTACTATCTGATTCTTTTCTTTGTTTTTGTGATATGGCCTCACTATGTATCCCTGGCTGCCCTGGATATGTAGAGCAGGCTGGCCTTGAACTCATAGACACCTTTCTGCCTCTGCCTCCCCAGTGCAGGGGTTGGCACTACTGTCTGAGTCTCTAGAAAAAGGTTTTGCTGATCCCTGATATGGACAATCAGTCTCAATTATGCAAAAATGAAGTCTGGCCGGGTGGTGGTGGCGGCGGCAGCAGCGCACGCCTTTAGTCCCAGCACTGGGGAGGCAGTGGCAGGCGGATCTCTGTCAATTCGAGGTCAGCCTGGGCTACAGAGTGAGTTCCAGGAAAGGTGCAAAGCTACACAGAGAAACCCTGTCTCGAAAAGCCAAAAAAGAAAATGAAATCTGTGTGTGATAGTGGTAATGGTTTTGACGGGACCTAAACTCACCTAGATGTGCCTGTGAGCGTGCCTGGGAGGGGTTATTTTGATACATTAATTGCTGTAGGAAGACTCATCTTTCTTTTAAAATTTAAAGTGTGTGTGTATAGTGTGTGTGTGTGTGTAGTGTATATACACATGGGAGGGGTCAGAGGACAACTTTCTTTTTAAAATTATTTTATACTTTTTTGGGTGGGTAGGTGATTTCGAGACAGGGTCTCTGGAACTCACTCTGTAGCCCAAGCTGGCCTCGAACTCACAGAGATCCGCCTGGCTCTGCCTCCCGAGTGCTGGGATTAAAGGCGTGTGCCACCACCACTTGGCCTATTTTATACTTTTTTGTATGTGGGTGTTTTGCACATGTGTATGTAATCTGTGCACCACATACCTGATACCAGATGAGGTCTCAGGAATCGAACTTGAGTCCTCTGTAAGAGCAGCCCGTGCTCTTAACCTCTCAGCCATCTCAGCTCTCAGAGGACAGCGTTCAGGGATTGATTCTTTCCTTCCACCACGAGGGTTCTGAGGATCACACTCAAGGATCACACTCAAGGATCACCAGGCAGCAAGCACTGAACCATCTCGTAGGCCTGGAAGACCCAGCTTAACTGTGGGCAGGACCCTCTCCTATGAGGGGATCCTGGACTGGAACAGTGGCGAGGGAACTGGGCTTACACTCGCGTTGACCGCCGCTTCTTTACCGCAGATGCAATGTAAAGCTGCCGCAGCTCCTGCTTCCCTGATGTCCTCTGTGGTGACAGGGATAACCTCGAACACTGAGCTGAAATCAGTTGTAGCAGAGCAAAGGGAAAAGAAACTAAGCATATCTGTGTCTCACACACTGCAGTTACCTCCTCTGTTAGAATTCATCTTTTCGCCCAGCAGTGGTGGCACATGGCTTTAATCCCAGAACTCCGGAGGGGAGGAGGATCCTTGTTGAGTTCAAGGCCAGCCTGGTCTACAGAGCTAGTTCCAGGACAGCCAGGGTTACACAGAGAAACCTTGTCTCAAAAAACAAAAACAGGGCTGGAGAGATGGCTCAGGGGTTAAGAGCACTGACTGCTCTTTCAGAGGTCCTGAGTTCAATTCCCAGCAACCACATGGTGGCTCACAACCATCTGTAATGACATATGGTACCCTCATTTGGCCCTCAGGGATACATTCAGGCAGAATACTGTATATGTAATAAATAAATCTTTAAAAAAAAAAAAAAAGAATTAGTTTTTTCAGCCAGGCAGTGGTGGCACACACTTTTATTCCTAGCACCCGGGAGGCAGAGGTAGGCAGATCTCTTGAGTTCAAGGCTAGCCTGGTCTATAGAGCTAGTTCCAGACAGTCAGGGCTACACAGAGAAACCCTATCTTGAAAACAACAAACAACAAACAAAAATTAGTCTTTTCAATTTCTGGGTTTAAAAAACCTGTTTTATGTGTATGAGTATCTTGCTTGCATGTATGTCTGTGTGTCACATGCATGCCTGGTGCTCACAGAGGCCTGCAGAGGGCATCAGATCCCCTGGAATTGGAGTTACAAGTGGTTTCAAGCTACCATGTGGGTGCTGGAAACAGAACCGAGGTGCTTCGTAACCGCTGAGCCATCTCCAGCCCATGCAGGATTTCTATTTTGTCTATTAACCATGCACTTACTGACTCCTCCCGCAGGCCCCTCTCCTGCCTTCTCCAGCATTGTGAGCAGCTTGGTAGTTTGGTCTGCCACACAGAAGAGCTCTTCAGTTCTAAATGCAACGGCCCTGATTCTGCCATTTCAGGGCTGGGAGGAATCTGAGGAGGAGCTGCTGGGGCCCTGGAGCACTTATGACTAATGGAGCAGAAGACTGGCCCCTGGCCCAGCAGCCAGCTGTGCTGAGAGCAGATGCCAGTTTCTTTAGCTGTCGGGCAGGTGTGTGTGTGTGTGTGTGTGTGTGTGTGTGTGTGTGTGTGTGTGTGTGTGTGTGGTGAAGCTGGGTCTCACTCAAACTCACTCTGTAACAGAGGATGACTTTGACCTCCTGACCCCCCTCCCCAAGTGCTCCAGTCACCAGTGCCCACCATCGCCCCTGGCACGTGGCGGCTCTTGGACTCCTGTGCTTGCAGGGCCGGTGACAGCAGGCAGTGTGTCCTAGTGCTAGGGCTCTCGGAGCTAGGGTGTCGGAACCCCAAGGTCTGGCCGCTCCCTGGGATTCCTTCGGGGACCCAGGGCACTCTTTCGTTCTCTCTCTCTCTCTCTCTCTCTCTCTCTCTCTCTCTCTCTCTCTCTCTTTCTTTCTCTCTCTCTCTCTTTCTTTTTTGTTTGTTTTTGTTTTTCGAGACAGGGTTTCTCTGTGTAGTTTTGGTGCCTGTCCTGGATCTCGCTCTGTAGACCGGGCTGGCCTCGAACTCACAGAGTTCCACCTGGTTCTGCTGGGATTAAACGCATGCGCCACCGCCGCCCAGCACACAGTTTCTTTTTCGTCCTAGTATTCTTTCTTTCTTCAGCCCTGGTCCCCTGTGCCCCCCATTTTTGTTTGCGCAGGTGCTTGTGCTCATGTGCAAAGGTGGGGGCCAGAGGGCAGTGGTGTTCTGCTTGGTCACTCCTTACCTTATTCTCTTGAGACAAGCTCTCTCCCAGAACCTGGAGCTGGGCCAGCAGCCAGCAAGCCCCGCTCTCCTCCAGCCTCCACAGCATCGGGGGTGCATGTGTGGCCACATCCAGCGTTTTACATGGGTGCTAGGGACTGGAATCAGGTCCGTAGCACACAGCGCGGCGTACGGCGTGCACGTGCACTCGTATCCACGGAATCACCTCCAGCCTTGTCTCTCACCTCTGATCCCTCTGCTTCCTGTCGTTTCGACCCAGGCCTTCCGCTCTCCTCCACCCACTGTTGCTGCCTCTGCTGCTGCTGGCCTTCCTCCGCTCACCCTGCGTCAGTCCAGGTCGGTAAAACAGTGAAAAGTGGTTAAGGAAAGACAGGCGTGGTGGCTTATGCCTGTAACCCAGCACTTGGGGAGCTGAGGCAGTAGGATTGCTGTGAGTTTGAGGTCAGTCTGGGCTACACAGTTCCTACCTAGTGTTCCTCCCACACCATCACTAAGTGAGACCCTGCCTCAAGGAAGTAAATAAACAATGCTTTGAAACGTTGGGACACCAGGGGGCGGTATAGGACGCAGCTCTGACGGGTTCAGGCTGTGAACCAACCTTTGGCTTGTGTAGCCGGGAAGGGTTTAGAGAACATTCACGACTCAGCAATCCCTCAAGCAAGTATAGTCTGCGCCTACAATGATCAAAGGACTTGTGAGGGTCTCCAGGGGAAGTGCTCAGCCAGGGGAGAGTGGAAATGACTGTGGAGAGTTCCCTAGAGCTCCTGTTTGCAGAAGCACAGCTTTTAGAAACAGCAGGCCTGCATGCAGCGCCTGCAGCGGACTGTGCTTCAGCAGCAGCAGCCACAGTTGCAGGGCAACCTCCCTGAGACTTGTGTGCAGTGTTCGCGGCGGCCAGTGCTGGCATCAGGGCAGTCGGGTTGGCACCCAAAGGGGGCTGCTTGGCTGCAGTGCTCTGAGCAAGGGGGCAAGGCAACGGGGGAGTCAATGCCCCTGCCTCAGCTTATCTTGTTTAAAGGAAAAATCACACAATTAAAGGGGTGCTTAAAATAAAAGCCTGCCAAGCTAGGAGTCTTTTTGGTTTGGGTTTTTGGTTTGGTTTTTTTGAGACAGGGTTTCTCTGTGTAGCTTTGAACCTTTCCTTTATGCCTGGTGTCCATGAAGGTCAGAAGAGGACGCTGGATCCCTGGGAACTGGAGTTCTGGATGGTGGTAAACCATCAGGTGGTGCTGGGTATTGAACCCGGATCTTCTGCAAGAGCAACAAAGTACTCTTCAGCTCTCTCTCTCTCAAGAGTTTTGTTTTGTTTTTTAATTAGTGGTGGGACATGTGCCATGTGTGGAGGTCAGCAGACAACTTTGCCTGCTTGGTTCTCTTCTACCTTCCCGGGGTCTGGGGATGGGCCTCGGTGGCCAGGCGTGTGCAGCAGGCGCCTTACTCTCTGAGTGCCTGTCTCACAGGCCCACACTTTCCCAGGAGACCAGGGTTTCTCAGCTGACAGCCCGTCACCCTCCCCTTGGGTGACATGGAGCAGGATGTCTTTGGCAATTTCCTGCAGTTTTACAGTCGCCCTCAGCACTGCCAGCCGGCTGGGGGTTTCCACTGTGACTGCTTCCATCTGGGCCGGAGCACGGCCCCTGGGTCCTGGAGGCCTGTGTTCTTAAAGGGAGCAGGAGTGCCTGCCGGAGCTGCTCACTGGCTCCCTAGTGAGAAGGCGCCTCCTCCGCTGCCTCTGCTACCACCCATTCAGTGATCTGGGTGTGTGCTGGGGAGCAGGGCACGGGGCTGAGTCATCTTTCCCTGGCTTTCTTCTGGTCTCGGGGCTTTCTGGATTCACTTCCTTTGTTGTTTTTTTTTTTTAAGTTTTGATGTGTCTGAGTGTTTTGCCTTCAGATGTGTCTATGTACCACATGCACGCAGTGCACACAGAAGCCAAAAGAGGGCGTCTTATCTCCTTGGACTGGAGTTATTACAGGTGGTGTGAGCTGCCATGGGGTGCTGGGAACTGAGCCCAGGTCCTCTGGAAAAGTAGTGAGTACTCTTAGCTGCTGAGCTATCTCTGCAGCCACCCTCTACCCCCCAGCTTCACTTCTGGATAAACTACTTCTCCCACATTTTTTCCCAGGGCATTTGCTTCTGGGGTGATTGCAGTCTAAGACAGGGCTGTGCCTTGATGGGTTTTGTTGATTTATTTTTTCTCATGTAATCTCTCTCTCTCATCTTACACACACATGCATATACATGCACCTGCACACAACGCCCATATGAATATGCACACGCACATACACACACACACACACA